TTTGGAATCGTTCGCGGGCATAATCATCGACAAACCGTGGCGGCGAAGGTGGTGCAGGAGGGCGGGAATAGACCATCGTTTAAAAGAAAAAAATGAGAAAAGAATGAGAAAACTTGAACTTTGGAGGTTATGGCAGTTTCAGTCAAAGAGAGAAGAAGAAGATGAGATAAGAAAAAGTTAAAGGAAAAGTGAAAAGGAAATGAAGATAAAAACAAAAATGAGATTATGTGGGGGATAAAAATAAGAAATATGGGGTATAAGCGGGAAGAAAACTAAAATTAAAAGTTAAAAAATTTTAAACCTAGGTAAAAGTGAAAAAATTCCCTTATTTTACTATTCACTTGTGCCACCCAATTTTCACAAGCTTCCTTCATACTCTTCACGTGATGGTCATGCGGGAAGTCCCTTGCAACAAAAATAAAATAAACATAATTAATTAAAAATAATAAAGACTAAAATAATAGTAAAATAAAAATTATTTATGCACAGGAGTAAATTTAAAATGTCAGGGCATCCTTAAGATGTCAGACCAGTATCGACATCGTGCAAGAGCAGCGCCGACTTGTCACGCGTAGGTGGATTCCTTGGTAAGCCTTCAGGCGCTGGCTATTGACTTTAAAATGGATCCATCATCCATGATCTTGATATCAACAACGCCATATGGGTAAACGTGGTGAACTTCAAATGGTCCCAACCAACGTGACTTTAGTTTGCCAGGAAAGAGTTTGAGTCTTGAGTTGAAAAACAACACTTTCTGGCCCTCATGAAAATGTTGTGGCAAAAGATTTTTGTCATGCAACTTTTTGGTTCTTTCCTTGTAGAGTTTGGCATTTTCATATGCTTATGCTCGAAACTCCTCCATTTCATTCAAATCGAGCAATCGTTTCTCCCCAGTAAGTTGTGCGTCGAAGTTTAATTTCTTGATTGCCCAATATGCCTTGTGTTCTAACTCAAATGGGAGGTGGCAGACTTTTCCATATACCATCTTGAAAGGCGACATTCCCAGAGGTGTTTTGAATGCCATCCTATAAGCCCATAATGCTTCATCGAGCTTGGGGGACCAGTCTTTCCTTCGAGGGTTCACCACATTCTCAAGGATTTGCTTGACTTCCCGATTGGACACTTCAGCTTGCCCATTTGTCTGTGGGTGATATTTCGTGGCAATCTTATGTCGCACTCCATATTTATGTAATGCCTTGGCAATTAATCTATTATCGAAGTAGGTACTCTCATCGTTGATAATGGCTCTCGGTACTCCAAATCGAGTGAATATGTTCTTGTGAAGGAACTTGAGCACCGTCTTAGAGTCGTTTCTTGGCGTGGAAAATGCTTCAAACCACTTTGAAACATAGTCCACCGCAAGCAAAATGTATAAGTCTCCAAAGGAAGATAGGAATGGTTCCATGAAATCAATGCCCCAAACATCGAAAAGTTCTATCTCCAAATATTTTGCAACGACATTTCAAGTCGTCTGGAAATGTTTCTAGTGCGCTGGCATCTGTCACGCGCCTTGCAAAATTTGTGGGCATCTTTAAATAGAGATTGCGAATAGAAACCTGATTAGAGGACCTTTGCAGCAATCCTCGAACCTCTAAAATGCCCTCCACAGGTTGCTGTGTGGCAATGGTATAAGATATTGCGTTGCTCCTCTTCGGGGACACGCCATCTAATCATCTGATCAATACATTACTTGAACAAGTACGACTCGTCCCAAAAATAGAACTTGGCATCATGCAGAAACCTCTTTTTGCCCTGGCTGTTTAGTTCATAAGGAAAATACCACTAACAAGAAAATTAACAAGGTCAGCGTACCACGGAATTGCCGTGGTATATAAAATTTTCTCGTCAGGGAATTCTTCTTTAATATAAAAAATGTCATGACATTCTGAAATGTTCTCTAGCCTAGATAAGTGGTCTGCAACCTGATTTTCAGTACCTTTCCTATCAACTACCTCTAAGTTGAATTCTTGCAAGAGTAATATCCATCTAATCATTATAGGCTTGGCATCTTTCTTGTTCACTAAATATTTTATAGCGGAGTGATCGGTATGAACTATGACCTTTGTACCTATCACGTATGGCCTAAACTTGTCAAATGCAAATACCACGACAAGTAATTCATTCTCAGTGGCAGTGTAATTCAATTGTGCATCATTTAAGTTACGGCTAGCATAATAAATCACATGAAATATTTTACCTCTACGTTACCCAAGCACAGCTCCCATGGAAAAATCACTTGCGTCGCACATTAAATCGAACGGTGCCATCCAGTCTGGGGGAACTACGATCGATGTAGAGATAAGTCTTTGCTTTAGCTCTTTGAATGCGCCATGGCATTTTTGATTGAACACAATCGGTTGGTTCTGTTGCAGCAGGGTGCACAAAGGCTTGGATATTATGGAGAAGTCTTTGATGAATCTTCGATAAAATCCAGCATGTCCAAGGAAACTCCGAATGCCCTTGACAGAGTTTGGTGGGGATAGCTTCTCGATTACCTCGATCTTGGCCTTGTCTACCTCAATGCCCTTTGTAAAAATCTTGTGGCCTAGAACAATGCCTTATGTTACCATGAAGTGGCATTTTTCCCAATTCAGCACGAGGTCAGCCTCCTCACATCACTCAGTAGCTTTACAAAATTGTCGAGGCATTTTTGAAAGTCGTCCCTAGAAACAGAAAAATTATCCATGAAAATCTCAAGATAATCCTCAACCATGTCAGAGAATATGGCTTGCATACAGCGCTAAAAAGTTGTCAGGGCATTACAGAGTCTAAAAGGCATTCTCTAGAAAGCATAAGTTCCATAAGGGCACGTGAACGTGGTCTTCTCTTGGTCCTCTGGTACGATGGCAATCTGGTTATACCCTGAGAAACATTCCAAGAAATAATAAAATGCCTTGCCAATAAGTCGATCCAGCATTTGATCGATGAACGGTAAAGGGAAGTGATCCTTCTTGGTGGCCTTGTTAAGCTTACGGTAGTCCATGCAAATTCTCCACCCGGTGACCGTACAAGTAGGTATCAACTCGTTATCTTCACTCGTCACCACGGTCATGCCTCCCTTCTTGGGCACGCATTAAACGGGACTCACCCACGAACTATTCGAAATGAGGTAAATTACTCCATTATCAAGCCATTTGAGAATCTCTTTCATCACAACTTGCTTCATGATTGAGTTCAATCTTCGCTGTGGCTTTATGGATTTACCATGGCATTCTCCCAGCAGGATTTTGTGAATACAGATTGTTGGACTTATTCCCTTCATATCTGCCATCGTCCACCCTAAAGCTTTCTTATTTTGTGACAAAACACTTAACAAACTCGTTTCTTGGTTAGGAGTAAGGGCAGAGGAAATAATCACAAACAAAGTTTCTTCACTACCCAGATAAGCATATTTAAGATGTTGTGGCAAATTCTTAAGTTCTAGGGTAGGAACATGTTGTAATGAGGGCTTGGGAGGAACAAACTCTTCAAAGTTCAAAGGTTCAAAAAGCGTACCTGGGCTAGCTTTAAGGAAGCTAGCTTGTTGTTCCTCGGATGAAAAATCATTAGGCTCTCCGACCTTTAAGTCTTCCAGCAACCCTTCATCAGATCCCAAGTGAATGAAATTGTCCTGACAAAATTGATCTGCTTCTTTTGTTATTACTGTATCCACTTCTAAAATGCTCTGGCATTCGTCAGAATCATCCATGTACTTAAGTGATCGGAAGACATTTACGGTGACATGTTGATCGATCGCTCTCATGGTTAGCTCACCCCTCTCACAGTCGATGAGAATACGACCGGTAGCTAGGATGGGTCTCCCCAAGATGATGGTTGATGTGGCGTCAACCTCACAGTCCAGAATCAGAAAATCGACAGGAAAAACGAACTTGTCGACCCTGACGATGACATCTTCAATTCGCCCCTCTGGTCGAACGTCTGAACTATCGGCTAATTACAAGATGACCGATGTGGGTCTTGCATTTCCTATCCCAAGCTTGATGAATATTGATTTAGGCATCAAGTTCACACTTGAGCCAAGGTCACATAATGTCTTCCCAATAAATTTATCTCCTATTGAACATGGGATGATGAAGCTGCCCGGATCATGTCTCTTTGGTGGCAGCTTGCTTAAGGAAGAGCAAAATTCTTTTACCGTGGCAATTATTTCATACTGCTCAACCTTTCTCTTATTGGGTAACAATTTCCTTGAGAAATTTGGCATATGTCGGCATTTGTTACATCTGCTCTAAAAAGGGACATTGATTTGCAGTTGACTCAGAATGTCAACGAATTTCTTAAATTAGATATCTTCGTTATGCTTCTTCAGTCTTTGCGGAAAAGGAGGTGGGGGGCTGGCTTCCTGTACTGATGGGGTGCGAACATAAGTTGCCTTGGCATTTTTATTTACCCCCTCAGTTTCTTCACTTGACGAATCCTCAGTCTTTTTCTCTTCTACTGGTGCTTCTTCTTGCACTTCTTGATCAGCTTGCTTGGTTACAGGGGATGACTCATCCTTCGGTCTTCCCCCAAACTTGTCTTCAACATTAATTTGTGTACCACTTCGGAGAGTTAGCACACTACAGCTCTCATTTCCATGAGGTTTGGTGATTTCAGTGTCACTCAGTAACTGTCCTGGTTTGCGTTCTTGTAATGCTGCGGCAATTTGATCAACTTGACTCTCGAGTACCCTCAGACGAACAATGGCTCTGAAGCAGGGCCCTTTGATTTTTGATGGAGGTCGCATGGTCTTGTAGCATTGTTTTTGTTGTTGCAATAAACTCTTTCATTGTGGCCTCCAAAGAACTGGTACTTGATGAAGATGGCCCTCCCTTGTTAGAATTATGCAATGGCATATTCGATTGATAACCCTGGGAGTCATTGTAATTCTGCTGTCGAGCTGGTTGATGGGTATTGTTGGATCCTTGATTTCCCCATGAAAAGTTTGGATGCTGGCGCCATCCAATATTATACGTGTTAGAATAGGGGTTATTGTTGCCTCGATTAAAATTGCCCACAAAGTTTACGGATTCTTGATTGGCAGTCACTCTCATTGTGATTGTCATGGCATAATAGACAAGCTGAATGGGTTGCCTTTACTTCTCTCACCTCACTTGTCCTTTGCAATTTTTTCAACATGTTGGTGATAGTAGCAAGTTGGGTGGACACATTATCTTTATAATCTAACTCGAAAGCTCCGTGTGACTTGCGCCCAGCTCTAAGCCGTGTGGATGGAAACTGATAATCATTAGTGGCAATCTTATCCAGAATGTCAAATGCCTCTGCTGGTGATTTGTCAAGCAGCGTCCCATTTGTCGATGCATCTAGCATCATCCTCATGGGCGCGTTAACTCCATTGTAGAACATCATCACTTGTGTCCAATCTTGAAAATCGTGGTTTGAACACTTGCGGAGAAATACCTTGTATCGATCCCAATATTCTTACATCGACTCGTCATCAGCTTGACGGAAGAAAGCAATATCGTTCCTTAATTGGGTGTTCATATTCGGAGGATTATACCGCATCAAATATCTTTTGCACAGATCTGTCCATGACTCCATTGAACCCGCTGGAACGCCACTCAACCATGCCCTTGCTCGGTCACGCAGGGAGTACGAAAATAACTTTAATTTCAGAACATCTTCGTGCACCTTTTGTTGGCAGAAAGAATCGTACACCTCTAAGAAGTTACGAATATGCTGCATGGCATCTTCATTTAGCATGCCCCCAAACTGGCCTATGAAGTTCAGCGTATTGAACATGACAGGTTTGAGCTCAAAGTGAGTTACCTGAATATATGGGGCCACAATTCCAGGATTTAAATCCTATAAGATCGGATTTAAGTGATCATAAATTACACAAGGTCTGGCTGCATTTCCAGCATTTAAATTTGCCCTGGCATTCTGATCCTCCTCATGACCAATACCTTGATTTCTGATTTGGTACATGTTTACACGTTGAGCACGTCTTCTTTGCCTAAAAAGCCTTTCAATTTCAGGATCAATCGGTTCTAATGGCTCTTCAGAGTTGCTTCGGGTCATGTACCTAAAAAAATAAATGAAGAAAAATTAAGGAAAGTAAAAAGTAAAGCTAACTAAAAAGAAAATATAAACAAGTAAAAAAATGCTATGACAAGTCAATTTAACTTCCAGTTGCCGACTCCCCGGCAACGGCGCCAAAAACTTGTCTGCTCTTTGTGAGTACTAAATATGGGTGCGAATATGTGTGCAAGTATACATAATCGAACAAGTAATAAAGTGATAAGTATAGTGTCGTCTCCACAGAGAATTGGGGAAATCAAATAGGTTTGTCAAGACACTTTACTTTGTCACCTAAGTAAAGTGAGTGATGGTACGTACAAATGATAATGCTGTGGCAAAATGAAATGATTGATGTGGAAATAGGATAATGGCAGTATGGTAGAAAATGGATATGTCGTGGCAAATTAAATTGTGAAACATGCAAGCAGATGAAAATGTCAAGGAAAAATAAAATGTAAATACTGGATTTAATTTATAGGACTTTAGTGTTCTCACACGACAAGCAGTAATGGGAATGAGTGATGGGAGTCACTAGGAAAATCTAAGTTTATTTCTCTGAATGGTATTTCCTCTATGATTAACCTACCCGACAGAGTCTACTAAATTGCCCTAAGCTATCTCTAGTAAGGGACTCGACATATTAAAAATGCCCTGGCAAATCCGATTGGCGTAAACCCCTGCAGTGATCTTATTAGTTCTGACAACAGGATATGTCTCGGCAATACCTTTTTGCAGCAGCATTAACATCTAACCTATCAGTTATGCTCTACTCCTTTTAGTCGAATGAAATTCTATCCTTATCTCTAAGGTGGATTAGGCCTAGTTACTACCTAGTACCCATTGTTTATGTAATTCCTCCCTAGCTTCTCTCGAAGACTAAAGATAAAGTACCTAGGCATTCTCTCGAACCCTAAGCACCTTCTAAGGAAAGGCTACTCTCGTAGCTCCTACAACCTCAAAGCATTAAGTTTCATAAACAAAACATATTAAATCATAATAAAATAACCATTCATTGAAAATAAAACTTAGACATCCAAGCGAACTCCCACCAAATAAGATTAGTTCATGGTGGGGTTCGAAATAAACAAGTTCAAGACAAGTTTCATTCGTTCCTTACAACCCAATAACAAAATATGAAAACAAAGAACAAATGGGAGGAGAGAAAGCCTTCGACGTGCACTGCCCAATGCTCATCTCGGCCACCAAGAACTGCTCCCAGCGGACTGGCTCCTCTCGGATGCTCAGAACGTCACTCCCTCAGGCTTGTCAAGGAGAAATGCCACGACAAGTAGGATTGACGGAGAAAGATGAGACTTTATCTCTCTAACGTTTTAAGCTCAAATCTATATGGAACTAAAGTCTCTAACAATGTGGCTTCATCCTCTATTTATAGGGGAAAATTAACCATTGAACTAAGAGTTGACTTTCCCAAACCATGGTTAACTTTGCTTGGGAGTTGGGCAAGACAGGTGATGATACAGCCTAGGTAGCTAGCATGAGTGACCGACATAATCCCGTTGCAGGCGTCCAAGGACAGACAGGATCTACAGGGTTAGGCGGCGTCATCAGCAGAACTGGCGGTTGCAGCGCTGATCCCTCCAGGCCTATCTTCGAGGTGGATTTCTCGGGAAGAGCTCTCGGACAGTTGGATACAGCTGTCTTAAAAAATATCTTCTCGCACTTTAAGCACTTTCGAAATGCCGGTTGAACTTAGCAAATTCATTTTGCTCAACAATCTCCTTATGTCACGACATTTTCTCTCCTCTTTTCCTTGCTCTCAATACTTGCACATCATCAGACAAGTACCTTTCCCATAAAGCAGTACCACTGTAAAAATAAAATGCCTCGGCAAACAGAAATCCACCACATGCAACTAAATACTTCTAAATGCCACTACATGGTTCTAAATGAGCCTTTAGACATTCAATAACTTAAATTAAAGGTCCCAAAATATGGCCTTTTACGGAGTTATCAACGCTCTTTATGGATAATCGAATAGAAAAATGATGCGACGGACTCCATCGCAAGATACCCCTTAAGTGAATTTCCTGGTTCTCATACATCATTCATTTTTTAACGACTCCATTACTGGAAGTCCTTCTGTAACAACTTCTCTTTCACGTGTAGCTCCTTCAGAGTTGACTTATTCCACATATGTTCGAGACAAGACCCATACCTCATTTTATTTGCCAAACCCACAACACGCTATGTTAACTACAGGCCCAGCGAGTTTAAATCTCTAAATTGATGAATTGTGCTCCCAATAATCATTAGATTAGGCTATAGGTATAGAATCTAGATTCACCGCATTCCTTAAACTGAGACCCACATAATCCCCTATGGGATTTCTCTCATTACTGAGGAGGTCTGACACCCTATTATTAGTATATTCCCTATCTATATTTTGCATCAGTGATTGTTCCCCACGATCTCCTTCCAATCTAACCGTTTCACCTTGTTCAAACCTCGTATCCACCTTTAGTCGTGCCTCCTAGGTTGATTGCTCAATTTCAGTTGTCGCCAGTGCAGGTCGACCACCCCTGTCTTCATCCAACGAAGCATCCTCACTGTACCAACCTTTTGAAGCTCTTTTCGATTCCTTCCCGATAGGATCGACCTATTTTTTGAATATCGATCCCATCTTAATCTTCACCTTAAAAGATCTACCATATAACCCTACATTAATCGTTTTCGGGACGTCAAAAGGACTCACCACCCACACCAGCAATTTCACCGCCGAGTAATCCTCTCTATTCCTTGTCTCCTCTCGAATGCAGATAACCTTCCCCCACTTTCCAGTAAGCCTCTCCAGGAATGACTCGTTCCAGCATAGAGGTGGGATTCTGTATAACTCGATCAAACAAAACCCCATTGGTACACCCTCATCATTCAAAAGAGGAGCCAACCAGTCAAATAAAAAAATATAACTCTTCTTGCTTATTTGTCCAAGCTACTGATAGCTCTTCAACTATCTTGAACATAATGATACAATAATTCCATACATAACCCCAACTAGTGATTTTTACTTCAAATCTTCATTGGCCAGAGCCTTTTGCACCAAGTCCAGGTCGAGAGAATATTTGATAATCCTTGTTAAAGAACGTTTCATCCAACTCGATTCCTCCGTAGGAATATGCATCTCCCAGACGTTCCTCATTTGTTTTGCAGCTTGCACAATACATTCCCTATTCACCCATGTTTCTGGTTCACTTCGTGACCTTCTATCCAAGGTCAATGCTTCCTTGTATGTTTTGTCATCCCTAAACTTCTCAAAGGATCAACTTCCTCATTGAATTTTCTTTTTTCATCTTTGTTTGACTTGTTAGCTTCCACATGGGTCCTGCCTACATCAGCTGCTATTTTTTGAGAATTCTGGTATTTTACAAGCCCCACTAAGACTTTTTTCCCATCAATCCATGTTCTATTAATATTTTGTATTACCCCGTTGGAAAACTGGACAAAGACGAACATGGAGGTTTTTTATTTTGGTTTGTTTGTTACACTCAATATGAAGACCCTCACAACTGGACCATGGTGATTGAAAAGTTCCCTTAATGTTCGTCTTGAGACCCTCTTGCTTAGATTGTCGACGAAAATTATCCATTCCTCCCAGAGGAAAAAGGACCTTTCAAATTCTCTCTCTCTCCCTTCCTACCTCTATCACTCATTCTCTCTTGTGTTAAGTATTTTTTCCATCTAAGATAATCATATAAGAAAAAGTAATTTATGCATAGGTAATTGGGTGGTGAACAAAAGAGATCTTTTTAATAACTTATAAAGAATGACATGGTGATTAGTTTTGGAAATATATCTAAGAGATATTTTAGAAAGTTAAAAGTATCTAAATAGTGATAATTTTTCAAAATATATTTTTGTTCTTAAATTTTATGTAATTTTTTATATGTTTATTTTTTCATATATTTGTATATGTAATGTGTCTAAAAGTTTTTAAAGATAATATATGAGAAGTTATACTTAATTAGTTACAAGTATACAACTATACTTGAGGAGGGATATTTTTCAGCAAAGTCATGTATTAGGAAATTTTTTAAGATGTCGGGTATTAATTTTATTTGGGACAGACACATATGGTTAACGATAGCCCCGCTTCGAGTAGAAACGTTCGTCTGGCAGATTGTTCATCAAAGATTGGTGGTGAAAGAGGAGTTGCTAAAACATGGAGTCGTAGGGATTGAGGATACACTTTGTCTGTTGTGTGGCAAGTTCTTGGAGTATGTTCCTCACTTTTTTGTGCATTGTGAGGTGGTTTGGGCCTTATGGTCTAGATTCATGCATCTTTGAAACGTTTCATTTGTTGTTTTGGAGAGTCCGACTATTTTGATCTCTGGTTGGACAGATTTAGTTTCGTAATCCACTATTTGGACTTTCATTCCTAGGGCAGTAATGTGGTCAGTTTGGAAGTATAGGAATGAGATTATTTTTTAAAAATGCAAGTTGGACTTAACGTTGTTATTTTTCCTGGTAAGGTATAGGATTACAGCCTGGTTTATAGCTAGATTTCCGGATATGGTTATTCCTTTTGATTCTCTTGTTGGCGATCCAAAAGTAACAGATTTTGTCGTGAGTACTAAGAAGGGTAGTTCTTCCTTGGAGCGTTGTGTTCCTCCTCCTTTGGGCTTCTTCAAACTAAATGTAGATGGTGCTATGGTAAAGGGGTGGTCAAGAGGATGCATTGGTGGCTTGCTAAGGGATAGTGATGGTGTGATGTTTGGTTCATTCTCAAAGAGTGTTGGTTTCAGGCCTCCTATCCTAGCTGAATTATTGGCAATTAAAAGGGGTATGCTATTATTTGTGGAGATCGATTGTGATTCAAGGGGGAGGCTTATTCTTGAATCAGATTGTTCTACTGCTTTGGAGTGGATTAAAAATTAGGGTCGTTGCACTCCACTGTTCGAGTCATTGGTGAAAGACATTGCCATAATTGTGGTTGAACAGGAAGTTATAGTTAGGCATATTTTGAGATTTGCCAATTGAGAGGCATATGAGTTAGCTAAGGCTGGAGTAGGGTGAAACTGTATTGTAGGTCGAGGTATTTATGTTTAGTTCTAGGTTTTATGGAGGTTGTTGTAGTGTGTGTTTTATGTTTTTGGTCGGGTTATGTATTTTGGTGGGTATTGTTTGTATTGTACTTGTTTTGTTATAGGTTTTCATTAAAAAAAATTAAGCACTCTTTTCATGTACTGGGTTTTTTTTGTTTGGTCGTAGGAGATGTTTGAAAGTAATTGGTCTAATGTACTTTTGTTGTATCTAGTTTTTTAGTAATAAAATTTATGACACTCTTTTCCTCCTTCCAATGTCCACTGAGCTACCTTTGTAGATTGGCGGTTATGAAGGGAATTTTTAACGAGACTTTCTTTTCTATAAAAAAAAATATCCGTCAAGCTACAGATGTAGTTTGAAGGTTATGAAGGGGTTTTTTAATGAGGCCTCCCATATTTTTATCAAAAAAATATACAACTATACTACTAATTTTATTAAATAAAAATAGTTAAGAAATAAAAATTCAATCACTATAAGATCCAAAACATGGTGCTTGTATTGCTAGTAATAATTTGCTATTTTCTCATGCATAGACTTAATTATTTTATCCATTCTTATTCTTTTAAACTTCACAAATTTCTTTTCTTTAGTGATAATTTTTTCATTAAATCTGAACAAAATTAATTAATAAGATGTGCATAAAAATGATCATATTTGCAAAATATGGTATCATCTCTAGCAAAGCTGATGGGATTTCAGATATCTTACCGTATATGTTAGTATTGATAGATTTCCTGTTGAAATTACTCAGTGTGATAATGTTTCTGTTATTGTTTTGGTCTTAAATTTACAGTTTGAGCCTGAGACCTCAAGTGCTATGGGTTTTGGCTTTAGATGTGGCTTCTTGGGTCTTCGACACATGGAAATTGTTCAGGCATGACCTTTTTGCCCCTGAAATGTGCCTTGTTGTCGCTTCTTACTACAAGTTGAAATTCTTGAGAATTTTTGAAATTCAGTGTAGGCTCTAACAATTTATAGTTTTACAGGAAAGACTTGAAAGGGAGTATAATCTAAGCCTAATAACCATTGCTCCAAGTGTCGTGTACAGAGTGAACTGTGTTAATAATGAAACAATAATTTCTTCTCAACCCTTCGCACTTTTTATTTATATTATATTTCAAGAATGTTGCAAGAAGATACTTTTTAATAGTTGATTATGTCTTTGCATCAAGAAGAAGCTTTGGGATTTTGAGAAAACAATTGTAACCAATTTCCATTGTCATGTTGATTTCCCTTTTTCTTTGTTGTTTTACATTTGAAGGGAATGATTTCTCTGCTTGAAAAAAGAAACAAAGAAGAAGAAAAATACAATATTTGAACTAGTATGGAGATGAAACCTAATATCTTATGATTTCTGAAGATGCTCTGTGTGTGTGTCAGTGCACCCCATCCCCCTCACTGAAAAAGGAAAACTTGAGTATTTGGCATCAGACTATGCCCACATGGAACTTTTGAATGAGGCAGGTTGATATTTTTAATGAAAAAGGTTCATGTGTTTTATGGAAGATATGGGAATTTTTCTAGGATGCATTTAGGAAATTATTATTTCAGAATAGATCTTTAGAAATTCCCTTAATGTTCTCTATGTGGAAAAATTATTCATCATCATTTGAGTTTTAGAGGTACCAATATTTCTATGTTGTTTCCTTTGTTCATGCTAAAACAGTAGCAGGACGCTAGTTTAGGAGGATTCTTTGGTTTCATCGTGAACTAGCTTGACTGCTTGAGTTGAACTTCTGTCTTTCTAAACACAATCATAAAGTTTTGATCACACCATAAAAACGAAAAATAGTTTCAGTAAAACTAGTGGCATTTTAGTTTCTTGACATTTTCTTTCTTCATGAATTTCTTTTGCAAGCTTGTAACCACTAGGACCATGTTAACTTTGTTTGAATTATTGTTTCTAGTACCATGACATCACTTTTTTTGTAGGCAACAACTTTATCGGATGTCACGGTGTTGCTAGATGATTTTCACGGTATTCGGGAGTGGAGAAATATCTATTGTTAATATTCTGCTAATGGGAAGCTTATTATTATTTTGACTGATAAGTTGGTTTGTCCTGTACAAGGAATTTGCTAAAATATAGCATGTTTCGTCTCATACTATTACTTTTCAAATATGAATATTATTGAAGGTTGAGTGCTCAAATCCATCTTTACTTCCTGAACCTGGACAACGGAGGTCGATTGAGGAACCAGTTGATAAGGTTATTTATTTTGTCTTGAGTTATTTATTACTTAATTACTTTAAATGAGTTTCTCTGAAACTTGTAAATTTATATGCTATTCTTTATCATGTAACATGTACAGATTGAGATTTTTACACCGAAGGACTATATTAGTTCATTGATGGAATTGGCTCAAGACAGAAGAGGTGAGTTCAAAGAGATGAAATATATCACTGAGAATAGAGCATCCATCATCTATGAGCTACCCCTTGCAGAGGTGAGATCTACCCTTTTATTTTGGATCATCCTGCTTTATTCACAGCCAAAGATCTCTTTATAGATAGCGTCAACCATTTTTACATATAATTTTCCATTCGTCTTTTCCTCAATCTATGTGTATACTCATTTCACAGATGGTAGGTGACTTTTTCGACCAGTTAAAGTCCAGAAGAAAGGGCCATGCGCATGGAATATACTTTCATTGGGTGAGTTCTTGTAAGAGTAGCTGTGATATAAGGTTGACTCGCTTGTATTTATATGATGGAATTTTCAAGCGTAGCAAAATGATTGCCCAAGATTAAGTTGTTTGAACAAGGTTCCTTGTGAAGCCCTGCACCTAATAAATGATTGCCCAAGTTTTTTTGTTTGAACAAAAGAAGACCAGGGGGCTCCAGTAGGGTGAATTCACAAAAAGTACTTTGGTACATAGTACAAGAACAAAATGGACATAAACTAATATTTTCTTCATAGATTTTGATGTTGATGAATCCCATTATGAAATTGCTGGTAAGAGTGATTATGTAAAAATTAAGGCATCAGACTAGAATGATGGAAATGATTTCACCAAGAATGTTGGTCATGAAACCTATTCATTAGGTGCAGGGCTTCACAAGGGACCTTAGTAGTAAATAGAAGGGTCTATATATTGCGTTCATTGAACTTAAAAAGCCTAGAATGGAATTCCTGAAGGTAATTTGATTTTGATAGCCCTTGAAGAAGAAAGGATTTTATGTAGATGTAGCATATATTCTACTCATGAAGAACGCGCATGATGATAATGACGTGAGGATCACTAGACAGATGACAACCTATTTATTTCCCAATTGCAGTAGGTATTCCACTTTTTGAGATTTATCCATTTGAGGATTTAGTGTTTGTTTATCAAATTGAGGATAGGAATTTAGAGTATTGAGTGCTTGTTTGACTGAATTTTTGGATTTATTTTCAAGTGGTAATTCAGTGCATATAGGATGGTAGGAGTTTTAGAGAGTACAATTGTTTGAGAAAATCAATGAGAACGCAGAATTGAAGGGGACTAATACTTGTCACTTCAAAACAATTCCCTTCCCATCTATACTCCAACGAAAGAAAGGTTGCATTCCTTCATGAAATTAAGTGCTGCTGCTACTACTCAACATGATAATTCTTTACATGTTAGAAACAATTTATATAAGGTAAACCTCGGTATTATAAGACTTCAAAGTCACTGAAGGACCTAAATCTATCATGGGATCGCTTTTTTAACAATTTATAAAAATAAAGATGTAATATAAGAAAATAAAAGACTAAAGAATATCGACGGTAAGCAACCAACATTAAAGTTGGCGTCGTCGCCGATCAACAAAGACAAAAGAAAAAAGAAGAAAAAAAAGAGATAAACGACTTATCAATGAGAGAAAATTATGAGAAGGAAAAAAAAACTTGTACCGTTAGATACACATGATATGATATAACTTAAATATAAGTTAACGATGAAAGTATCACAATTAATATGCTTATCGCAATGGCTAAATGATATATTTATTCATTATATTATTGATCGAATAAAATTATTAAAAGTTATCACTGAATTGATGATATATTTATTTTTGGTCTCTGCAAGGTGCGCTAACTTTGGATTTTTCTGCATTTCATTTCTGTTGTATGGTTTCAAAGAATTAATTAGCTAAAAATGAAGTTCCAGAATAGCCTTTGATTGGTTCCAGCAAGGTTTTAAGATTGTTTAGGGAAAACCCATTTTCGTCTTTGGTTGCACCATCAACATTCTGAGAACCCATAATTGCCTTAAATTCTCTTTCACAAGTTATGGAGTAATTATACCACAAAGATTCTCTCACGTACTTCAAAGGGATCACAGAAAACGAATTCAACTAAAAATTTGGATATGGTTGGCCATGCAATAGAGGGTAAGTTATACAATTTGTTAATAGAAAGTAAGATAAAATCGATAATGATACTAATCATCCCGAGAGAAGCTAAGGGGCTAAATATGAAAGACTTTTGGACCCATCAGGTAGTTTCAGTATTGTTCTCCCTTAAGGTTCTGTGTTCAAGCAACGGTGTCTTCATTGTGTGTGTACGTTGTTAATGATTAAAAGATATTTTAAACAGACACTATATTGTAATTACATCAAATTATTTGTAAAAAAATTAACGAGAAGAGAAATTTATTTTTAGCGCTTAATAAGAAGTTACGAGAATCTTATATGTTAAGATTTATGAAAAAGTTTAAAATGTTATTAAGTGTAAAACGATAAATAAGAATTCGAACAACTTGACTCGAAAAAATTACAAATCAAATTTTAATTATAAAATAAAACTTATCAATTCGAATAATTCAAAATTTTTCGATTCGATTAAACTCTTCAACCCCACTTTCACCGATGATACGTAAAATGAAAAACATTACAAAAATCACCACAAAAGAAGCATTTGAATAATTTATTTTTTAGATGGGATTCGTCCTTATTTCTCTCGTGACATGTAGAATTGGCATGCAGCGCCAAACCCAGTTGACTCTATACCAAGTTTTCCTGTTGTTCAAACTACTTTTCACCCAACACGCACACACCAAAACAAAATCAAGACGGCGTTGAAAAGGTGCCAAATTTGACCAATCCTCTCCAATTCAACTTATATATATGGCCACCATGAACACCGACGAAGACTTGTTGTTTGAGAGTAGATGGCGAAGAAAGCCGCCGAGGCTGCGATTCACTCCATTGGATTGGGTTACGATCTCACCGCCGATCACAAGTTCAAGTACTGCAAAAAGGCTTCAAATTTGATAACCATCGCCGACCGTGATAACGTCCGGGACATCGCTATTCCTGGTGGGATTTTGGTTCCTAATGTTCCCAAATATATCAAATGCGATAAGGGGGAGCGGATAAGGTTCGCGTCTGATATCCTGTCTTTCCAGCAGGTACCTATCAGCCTTTTTTTCTTTTTTAAATGGATTCCTGTGTGTATCAGAATTATGATTTTTGTTACTCTGGGTTGCGGATGATGAATCTTCTCTCTTAATTTACTTGTAGATGTCGGAGCAGTTTAACCAGGAAATGTCTCTGTCGGGTAAAATTCCATCGGGACACTTCAATGCTGCTTTCGAGCTCACGGCAGGATGGCAAAAAGATGCCGCCAACACTAAAACCCTCGCTTTTGATGGCGTTTTCATTACTCTTTACAATATTGCATTAGAGAAATCCCAGGTCATGCTCTGTGATCATGTCAAACAAGCTGTCCCTTCATCATGGGATCCTTCTGCTTTGGCTAAGTCAGTATCTGCTATCCCTTCCACCATTCTTCGTCTTATTATGATATTAATTTGTGGTCAATATAGAATAGAAGAATTGTTGTCAATCTGATTAAGTTCTTAATTTGATGATAATACTTACTTTCTAGTTTTTGGGAAATCTTTCTTAAAAATGGATTTCTGGTTGTTAATGTTATTCTTATTTCATTATCCACAATTCTCCAGAAACTATTAAGTTTTTGGATTTGTCAAGCTGATTAAGGAGGTTCATATCTCGTAAAGCTGATACATACCTCTGAGTTCCTTGATCAGATGATGATAGTTTTATTGTTGTGGAGGTTAAATTAATTGATAATATTTGTTGATTGAGGTTTAAAGTAATTCTTTGGTATAAATTGCACCTTATTGCTTTCTATTAGAGGAAAATTTTCCTTATATGAAGGTTTGTTTAGTTTTCATACAATGCTTCAATGAATCTTTATTTTTTTTCCTTGAATTATAACGTATTGCTACAAAATCATGTTTGATTCATGAAATTTGTAAATGCCATTGACCTTTTATTTTGTTGTCACATTTTAGGTTTATTGAGATGTATGGAACCCATATTATTGTTGGTGTGAAGATGGGTGGAAAAGATGTTGTATATATGCAACAAAAGCATTCATCAGGTCTCCAACCAATTGAACTACAACAGAAATTAAAGGACTTGGCAAACAAAATGCTTATAGAAGAAACTCGGCACAAAACCAACTATGATAAATTAAACCAGAAAGATAAGGTTTGCAACATCTAAACTTCTTCTAAATTGGAATGACTTGATGTCAAATGAAATATAGAGAAACTATTGATATTACCTCAAGTTCAGTGAAGCAGTGCTGACATACAAACAGAAAAAGAGAACCAAAATAAATTCTAAAATTGATGTGAAATTGAAGTTGAGACAATCACACTAGTTTTTAGGGTTGTAGAATTACCAACTGATAGTATCTGACCATAACATCACTGATGAAAGTTTCCAGAAAACTATTTAATACCACTTTTAAACTATTCTTGGACTAAATCCTTGGACTCAAATAAATCTCTTATATCCAAGTTCTTTAGACAGGTAAAAAAACCACTCTGTAGTCAAATAACAGACTAACTAGAATATGAACATAATAATTGACCTTAGAATAATGCGTGAAATGGATTATCACGAACAAAGCACAACCTTGATAAAGTATGAAGATAATTTGAAAATTAATGCTTAATCTAAGCAAACAAGTGCAATATGTGCAGTAACTGCTCAAATGCTTTAGATCAATGGTTATCAGAATTGGGATTAGTAGCTACTCAAATATATTTTAGACACATGTGCATTTGGAAAAATGAAAAGTCTAAGTAGCTTTTGATAGAGTAAGGATAAAGAAATCAAACATAGAGATTTTAAAGAGGCTTGGTCCTTTGCTCAAATCTCGTTTGTTTTCTCCCTTGGTATCCTGTTACCAAGAAGTTCAATTCACTAATATTCTGCAAGATTATCCAAACTAGATTTAAGGGCTAAGATATAACCTTCAATTATTATCTATGATTCTATGGTGGTTGAAGTTTGATCTCTACAACAATTACTTTTGTAGCTAAAGTATAACCTTCATAGCCAAGCAGTTTCTTACTTCCTTTCTGACAAAGATTTACTGTACTGAATAACTTCTTAAAAATCAGTTAAAATTAAGGTAAGAATCGATGCAAATATTGAAACAATTGAAGATATAAGGACATTGAAAACAAGGAGTTGGGATAGCTATCGGTCATTTATTGAATACAATATCAAAATTGTCACTATAGTATGACTCAATTCTGGATTTCTTGTGTTTTAATAAATTACGGTGAACTTTGTTTCCAATTTGATTGATTTTTGGACAGAAAGATTGTGGAATATTTTTAAATGTGTTTTTGGGAACAATCATTACCGTTTGGATTGGCATAGATTTAATCCTTCCCAATCCATTTGTCTACTGTGAGCCTGCATACTGTGACAATTTTTACTTCAATTCTACTTCAAAGTTGAACAATGAATGCCCATATTAGCATCCAAATTTGAATGCACCTCCTTCACTCAAGTTGAAAATTTCACAGTAGAAAATTTTTGGACACAGTAGAGTTATTTGCTTGCTACAAACAGAATTAATGAAAACTTGGCAGTTGCATGAAGGCAGATATCATAGAATATCCAGTGATATTTTGGGTATAGTGGCAAAAATCAGTAAAACTTTTGCAAAGACATTTTAATGTCGATCCTATAGTTATTTGCTTGCTACAAACAGAATTCGTATTGAAATAACTAGCCCCCTTGATCTGGTTATATTGCATTAGATGCAAATGCACATATGGATACACTAAAATTACTTATGGTTTTCTTCCAGATTTTAAAAGAACATGGGCTAGCTTCCATGGACATGCTTCAAACCAGTTCTTATTCTCAAGTGGAGGTATGATGCCCGAAAATAAGTTTGCATTAGGAATTTATTGTCTACGGAGTGAATGACCCTATCCATCACTTGTTTTAGTATATGCCACAAATGCTCTTAGTAGCCTCTCAATAACCTCAAATTCTTTATTATCATCTAACATAGTTTTCCATTTAGGAGCTTTGTATAAACATTTTGCATTTGCAGGATATCAAATTCATCTGCAAAAGGAAAGGAGGCAAGTTGAGTTCAAATTTATCACATGGTGAATGGTGTCAAACCGTTCAGTCTGAACCAGATGTGATTTCCATGTCTTTTATCCCAATCACATCATTGCTTACTGGAGTTAATGGGAGTGGATTTCTCACCCATGCCATCAATCTATACCTTCGTTGTACGTACAAAACTTAATTCATTATTTACCTATTGCTTTTCATATAACTGTTTGGTTACCATATGAACAATGCATTGAAATTTAAAACAAATATTTTTAGTTCATAACAAAATAAAAACCATAGATTATTGTCTGGTTGACAATTTGTTTCATTATCATTCACTTGAAGAGTATTGTCTAAATTAATCATTCTGTTGATGATGAATAATGAACTTTTTTGGTTCTCTAACCTCTAGTTGACTTATCTAGGGTTTCTTGGCCATAAAAATCATTTTAAGGAAAAGTTTTTCCATTGTGCATATAAGCAGCATTTTTTAAAAGCGTCGTCCGTAGTCAATAAGCCTCTTGGCCAAGCATTTCTAGAATTTCAATCTAGAGTATGTGTAATTGCTTGGCATCACAAAAGTAGGCACTTCTGATAGATACTATAGACTTATGATCAATATATACAATTTTGTTGCTTTATTTTTGAAGTTACAGACTCGCAGTATTGTCATTAGGTCCATATTGCGGGAAAGCACCATACAGTGAAATAAATTCTGGTATAAGAGTGAATTTGCTTTTTTAGTGATTAGTGCCGAGTGAAAATTCCACAGTTTTATAGAGTTTCACTTCTTTAAATCAAATATCCACATCAATCTTTGTTACATAACTTTCACTTCGACTTTAAATGTGGCAAGAATTTTGGATTTGGAAGCATATGGTTGTTAATAGGATCGATTCTGGATTTGTGGCAAGATCCTAACATGACTCCCCAATTAATGAGTTCTAAACTTATTTTTCTTTTCGTGTTTGGAAGGGTTTCCACTAGCAGATCCCTAATATTTTTTAACCTGTCAAAGGGATGCTCACATCACGCTCTCCATTGATGATGCATGGGCTCCCATTTGTTTATTCCTTGAAAAAACAATATAAATTGGACAAATTTTCTTAGTGTTACCATTTTCTGTGTTTTGTTAGTTAAGACAAGCTGATTTGCAATTTTCTCACACACCGTTTCCTTCCTTTATTCATTACTATTATATCTTAATTGCATATGCATGCATACTTCATTTTTTCGCAAATTACCTTGTTGCATCACTTGAATTCCAAGAAACTTAATCTTTACATTACGTGGAGGATCCAAATAAACCTACACTGGCTGTGGGTGTGTTTAATTTTGTATCAGGCTTAGTTTTAGTATACAAGTTATCTATTAGTATGAAGCAGTTTTATTCATGTAGAATGATACATGTAGCATTTGCTTTTAAGTGGCTTCTATATGATAAATTTCAAAGCATGATACTTGCAATCAATAATAGGAATCTAGCCTAGTTTAATTCATGGTACGCTGTTACGACCTTTTGCATCAACTTTTATTCATAATTTCAGTTTTGGGATTTTCTTGTGGCTTGTTTCTTAAGCTTGAAATTCCCTTATTTAAGATATTTGGAGATTGATTTGTATTTTGGCGTAATGGAAAAAATTTCCCCTATACTTTTCGATTATACTTTAATTGATTCTTTCCGAATATGGAGTATTGGAGATGGAATATTCTGGTAATGTAAAATTCCCAGGAATTTTCCATCTCTGTTACATTTTTGTCCTAAAACTAAATTGTGGCCAGATTCACATTGACCCATAATATAGTGCCAAATTTGGCTTTAAAGCCTCGTCTTTTTCTTTTACATTTCTTGAAGGACAAGTTTAAATGAAAAGGACAAAATCACATCTGTATGTTTTAATTGAAGCATTCTTACCTTGTCATGCAACTTAATTTTTCAGGTTTTGTGTCTTGAATTGTGTCATTATCAAATCTGTATTCCAGTTCCACTTTACATGGTTTGTTGGTATCTGATGGTAATTTTTGTTATGTAAAAGTTCAAAATATCCTCAAATATAAATCATGTGTGGGTAAGAAACCAATCACTTTCACAAGTAAGCAAACCGCTAATACCTACTTCTCTAAATAAACGTCAAAATCCTTTCAACATATATTCTGAAGCTAAAGTGATAGATATTTTTCATTTTCAAAGAAATAGAAATTAAAGATAAACGAGTTATGTTCTTTTAGTTGGCATTTCCAAAATTTGCTTCTGGGATCGAGGAATTGTAAGCCATTATCCATTTATAGTTTTCCCTTTTACATACAGATAAGCCTTCGATTGATGAACTACATCAGTTTTTGGAGTTTCAGCTTCCAAAGCAGTGGGCACCAGTTTTTGGTGAGCTTGCCCTTGGTCCTCAGAAAAAACAACAAAATAGTGCATCATTGCAGTTTAGCTTCATGGGCCCCAAGCTTTATGTTAACACAACACCGGTAATGTTCCCATTCTTTTATATTGCTGTTCTGCCTTTCCCATATAAGAACCCAATGTTAAGCATGGTAAAACTAAAGCATGTGTGACAATTTGTTTCAGTGCTTGTGTATGTGGCATGTTAATGCATTAGTTGCCACATTAAGCTCAGGCTAGTGATGGAGCTTAAATGTAAACCAAATTATAAAGCAAAGATGATGTATCGCGGGCTATATTTGTGTTAAGTTAATATGCTATATCCACCAGCATAGTTAAATGTTGATGGTCTCTGAAAATTATATCCTTAACTCCTTGTACGCCCTTTGATACTCTGACTCACCAATGGTGTTATTTGGTCTTAAAAGAGAATGTCCTCCAATCCTGTTGTCAGTTAAATGCGTAGAACTCATTTTGGAGTAGAACTGGGGTTAATAATATCAAATGGGGTTACTCTTCAATTCTTAGTTCTTAATTTACATCTTCATGTTACACTTTTGTGCTTTTCATACTCTGTTTTGTTAAGGTGCCTATAAACCGTCTTGAAAATAACATTTTATCTTCTCTTTTCCTATAAAATTATTGTTACTCTTAAAGTTGTTTTGAAGAAAAATAAGAAAATGTTTGTTAATTTGTTGAAAGAAATACAGTAACATCCTTAAAATTGAACGTTGTCAATAAGCTATCATTATAACTAATGTTGTGCTCATTTACTTTGTTTTGAGTTCCTTTGACAGGTTTATGTAGATAAAAAGCCCGTAACTGGCCTTCGACTTTATTTGGAAGGCAAAAGAGGCAACTGCTTGGCAATTCACTTGCAGCATCTTTCCTCACTGCCAAAGACATTCCAGCTTGAGGATAGAGCAAGCGCTAGTGTCTCTGATCCCATGTCTGAACGCAAGTACTATGAGAAGATTCAGTGGAAGAACTTCTCTCACGTCTGCACAGCACCTGTAGAGTGTGATGAAGATGTCTCTATTGTTACTGGTGCTCACTTTGAAGTTGGAGACTATGGCTTGAAGAAAGCTCTATTCTTAAGGTTGCATTTCTCTAAGTTAATAGGTGCAAAGGCCATCAAGCAGCCCGAGTGGGATGGCTCTCCTGGCTTGGGCCAAAAATCTGGGATTATCTCAACTTTGATCAGCACTCACCTCACAGGTGCTCAGAAACAAGCTCCACAGCCAACCGAGGTCAACATGAATTCCGCGTTGTACCCCGGGGGCCCTCCAGAGCCCAGCCAAGCTCCAAAACTCCTGCGGTTTGTGGACACAACAGAGATGAGTAGAGGGCCACAAGATTTACCTGGGTACTGGGTTGTCTCAGGTGCAAGGCTGGTGGTTGAAAAGGGAAAAATATCATTGAAGGTAAAATATTCTCTATTGACTATGATATTACCGGATTAGAGTTCACAAATCGAACGACATGGATCAGTGGTGGTGTAGATAGATAAGAAGGTATAAAGGCACTATTGGTTTTGGTTCATTTCACCTTTGCTTTTCCCTTTTCAATCAATTTGAGTTAAAAGGCGAAGTTGGTAAGCACTGGATTGCTTTTCTTTTTATTCTGTGTTGCGTAGCAGGATTTGCTGAAACATTTAGGAATGAAGTTGCTTGCACTTCAATGCTTTGTAATTATAGGTGGTGTTGATGTTTCTTTAAAGCCTTTGGGTCACTATTGACATTCATACAACCATTATATATATATATATATATATATATTACTGAAAGGTCAAAAACTTGGTTTGGTGGCTTTCTTATAATTATAGTATTCCCTAACCAATAATAAACCGTTTTGAGATTATTTTTCATTTTATAGTATTGTCGAACCAAAACTGTTGTGTAAATATAAACTTTTTTTAGTTTATTTGATAGTATTCCCGAACCAATAATAAACCGTTTTGAGAAGATATATAGATACAATCCAATTACACAATGTAAATAAAAATTGTTGTCTACTTGAATTATAAAATCAAATAATGGAGGAGAAATATATATTTACACAACTAATAAAAAAAACTCGAATATATATATTTATACGATCAACTTATTCATAAACAATCATAATCTAACAAAAAATAATATATCAAATACCAGCAGTCTCATAAATACATCTGTTTTCTAAAGTAAGTCAAATATTGTACTATGACTGAAAAACATGGGACTATCTCGACAACTGTGCTCCTTGAACATTGATGTAAATCTACTAACCTATAAACATAAATAATTTGAACGATGAACTTTGCAAGGTCAATGTTAAAATTTAACGGTACACGTCCACTTTATTGTATTTCATATAATTTATTAACCTAAACATACAAATCAAACATAAACATAAACGCATCACATATGCATCATATCTAACTTATTCATCAATGGTTATTGGACTAATAATGATCATACACGAAGACTCACATCAAAGCTTGCTCTCGAACAGAAAATCTCACCATCTTAACTTATTAAAGGTAACATATTCATAGAAATTGATTAACTGTTTATTTTTTTTCAGTGAATATCTTTTATTTTCTATTGTTAATTTCAATCGTTTATTTTCACTCATCTAACGATCATAATTCTATGTAATTGGATTGTATCTATATATATATAATGAATGTATATCAAACAAACAAAATTTGTATATATGCTCAAATAGTATGGAATATCTAGATAATTTTTCCTCAGAGATAACTGCAACTAGAAATAATATTGGATTCAACATGACTCACTGATCACCATTCATAGATACAAATCAATACATAAAAGTCATACATTACCAAATTATCAACAAACTAATCATCATAGTTACTCTTAGTCTAAGACATACAATTCTCAAACATAAAATGAACATTAGCCATCATCGAAATTATTCAAATTCTTATGCTTGATCCAAGCTTATTTAACTTAGGGTATATTCTTCATAGGGTAGATCTAGTCATTTCAAGCCTTGTAGCTCCTTTAAAGTCTTATGTAGTGATTTGAGTGCATTATTTAACATATTTAACTTTAACAGCTTAGGGTATCAATACAATATATAGGGCATCGATACTCAGAGAGAGTATTGGTGCCAAATTAGAGAAGTAGAATTTCATCAAACTTCACAACGTTGATACTAAAAGCGGTATCAATAGTGAAGGAGTAATATTGATAAATCAAGAATGAGTATCAATGTTTTATTTATAAATTACTCAAATTTCTAAGGGATATTTTATAATATCAATTTCATTTAGTACCAGAACTCAGAAAATGCATTTTAAGTCAAAAAAACCACTCCAAATTGACTCTGAGAACACCTTCGTTTATGCCCTAAATGATTTCTAGGGCTTGTGTAATAATAACACATCATATAACATCATTTTATCAGTCTCCTAATTTTTTTGAATATGGGTGGTGGCATAAGCCAATTACATTAAGTTGTTACTAAACGTCCTTGGGGGGGTATGAATGTCTCTATAGAGAACACTAAATAAATAGACGGGCAATATCGAAAACAGTTTAGTGACTAGCTGATGTAGAGTATAGTCTTTGATGATTTTGTTTGCTGCTTTATTGGCGTCGTGTCGAATAAGATCGGTATCAACACGTCAGGCTTTGTTGATTAAAACTTTAATGGCTCGAACTAGGAAGTAGAAATGATCGGTAAAAGATTAAAGACATAGGCGATGTCAATTTGGACGGAAACCTTTCCAAACCCTTGGGGCCGTGCTAGTTTAAGACCTTTATAGACACCTCATAGTTCCACCTGGAGCAACATTAGTCTCCTAATTTATCTAGTCTACTTTATTAATTACTTTTTAATATTAGTTGATTTAGATTATTTTATTTATTATTTATTTAATTAAGATTTTAGATTAAGTTAAAAATTATATGGATGTAAACTACCCTAATTTTAGAATTATCTACCCCATAAACTAACACCTCTCATATATATTTTTATACACCATTTAAAAATAAATCAATTTTTCCGTGACATCAAATTTGGTTGCTTAAAAGGCATCTTGAACCATAAATTTATACGTCTTATTCATTCAAATATGCATCATAAATGAGAAGACTTCTTTGAATTGTCTAAAATTTGGGTGTACACATCATATGCATGCATCCTTTTCGCATTCTTAATTATATCTTGTTCTTTTTTACATGTTTTTTTACCCTATCTAGATTAGTCGATCAATAGATCAAAACCGGTGGTTATACCAAATAAATATGAAACTATTTAGGGTATTTTTATAAATACGAACCAAATTGATATTAGCTAAGAATTGGTTTGGAGTTATTTTATGGATTTGGAAAATGAAATAAAAGATAAAAATGAAAAGAAGTAAAGGCATTAATGGTTATTTTTCTTATAATAGGAACCAAATTTTTAAAAAAATATGAAAATGTTGGGAGTCTATTTTTATAATTATGGGTTAAATTAATAAAATATATAAATATTGATGGTTAAATATGTTATTGTATCAATTATTTAGAGAAGACTTCTTTGAATTGTCTAAAATTTGGGTGTACACATCATATGCATGCATCCTTTTCGCATTCTTAATTATATCTTGTTCTTTTTTACATGTTTTTTTACCATATCTGGATTAGTCGATCAATAGATCGAAACCGGTGGTTATACCAAATAAATATGAAACTATTTAGGGTATTTTTATAAATACGAACCAAATTGATATTAGCTAAGAATTGGTTTGGAGTTATTTTATGGATTTGGAAAATGAAATAAAATATAAAAATGAAAAGAAGTAAAGGCATTAATGGTTATTTTTCTTATAATAGGAACCAAATTTTTAAAAAAATATGAAAATGTTGGGAGTCTATTTTTATAATTATGGGTTAAATTAAAAATATAAATATTGATGGTTAAATATGTTATTGTATCAATTATTTAATGATCACGTTATCAATTCATCATAAGTTAACAACATTTTGACTGGAATAATAAAAAAACGATTAATCAAGTGACTAAAATAATATTCTTAAAATTTAATGACGATAACATTCTTATGAATAATTTGATGACGGTCCCTGTGGTTTACTCCAAATTTAATTAGGCTTCCGAAATAAAACAAAAAAAAAACTAATTTTTACGAGTCTATCATACTTAACGTTTACTTTTTGTTTCGTCTTGGTACTTCGCCATTAAAAACTTAGTGTAACTGTTACAACATGACATATTTTAATGGGTAAATTACAACATTCATCATTCAACTATCTTCTCACTCCTATTTTGATCACTGATTTTTTTAATTTAATTACTTAACTTTCAAATTACTCCAAATTTAATCACCCTTACTTTCAAATTTAATTTTTTATTTTAATTATATATTAATAAAAAATTAAAAAAATTCATAACATAAAAATTAGTAATAAAAAAATTAGACTGATTAAAACATGAGCAATTTAAGAGTTGAGTAGTTAAATTGAAAAGTTTTAAACTTTAGGACCAAAATAGGAGTGAAAAGATAGTTAAATGATGAATGATGTAATTTGCCCATAAAAATGTCCATTAAATTTTTACAGTTGAATACTAAAATGAAATAAAAAAAATAAACATGTCAGTTTAGATACTAAAACGAAACAAAACTAATAATTTAGATATTAAATAGGTAGTTTATCCTCCATTTTATCAGTTCACCTAATAATTAGCTCTCATGAATTATGACCAACCATGTATGTTTTAAACCCGGGACTAGAGCTGTAGAAATGTTAGGCGTAGCCACAATATTCACTATCATTCACCTGAACCGTAAAAGTAAGGCAAAGAACTGTGTTTCTCACACGAGTGCTTTTTCACTGTGGTGGAACCAAACCCTACGCAGTCCTACTCGTGGGATTTCAATATAACATTCTTTAGCTGACTTGGTCGTCTTCTCCATCTACCTTTCCTTTTTCTATTTTGTCTCTAACTGAGAGAACCGCAAACAACCATGGGTTGGACCTATCTTGAACTCAAACTCATCTCCTGCAAAGATCTCAAGGCCTTCAACTTCTTCCAGAAACTCTCAGCTTACTCCGTGGTTTCCATGGTGGTCATCAATGAACAATCGAAGAAGAAGGAAGAACACCAGAAGAAGTATCTGCAGCGTCAGAAGACATCGATCGAGAGAGGAGGCAAAAACCCTGAATGGAATCACGTGTTCGAGTTCGACCTCCGGAGCTTGTCCCCTGAGGAAACCGATCATGTTTTTATCAAGTTCGATTTGCGCGCCGACGTTTTGGTTGATCGAACAATCGGTGAAGTTCGGGTTCCTTTGAAGGGTTTGATTGATGAGTTTGGTGGAGTCGTGCGGTACCTGACTTACCAGGTTCGAAACAGCGATGGCAAGCCTAATGGGGTGCTTAACTTCTCGTATAAGTTGAAAGGGAAGATCAAAACCAGTGGAAATCATGATTCTGTGAAATTTGTTTACGGCAAGATGAAACCACAAGCCATTGAATCGTCTTCTTCACCTGAAAAATCCCATTGTTCCTCTGACAAAGTGGTTTACCCCAAGGTGGAACTCGATGATGATAATCATCACTCATGGCCACGAGATGTTATCCGCTATCCTTCATTGGATTCTGCTGCTTATACTGTTCCTCCACCGTTTCAATGCCAAACACCGGTGCAGGGTATGGTTCCTGGAGGGTACTTTGATCCATATTCAAGACCATCACCAGTGATGCAGCCTTCTGCAACATATTGGTATCCAGTGCAGTCAAGTTTACAGTGATGATACTTGTTACTACATTATTTAGGGAAACAATTGTGCCACAGTAGCTGTTCTTTGCTTTTCTTTTTTTGGGCAAAATATGTCTTTTTGTTGTATTGATTTCTCGGATGTTATTATATAAATGAGAATCTACTCCACTTGTTGGTTAATTTACCTGAATGGAAGAATGGTTTTGAAGAAGGCGGACAAATTGGGAATGAATTGTTTGAATCTCAACTAAAAATTGGCTGAGTTGTCCAACTCCAAGTCAATTCCAAGTTTTGAATGGAACTAGAATAAATCTCGATGTGAAATACCAGTTTCTTTAGATTTTTTTTTATGCCCTCCCGGTTCCCAAGGTTCATCCTGATTTATATGGACTAACTCGATTCGTAAATTTAGTTATGGTGGTTAAGTCTATGGAGATTTTAAGACTCAAACTCAAGACCTGCTTCAACGTTATCAAGTTATTTATTACTTGAATTAATCCGTAAATAATTTCTTTAGATTTTAAAATTACATGAATTGATATTCTTAAAAAATAATTTAATTTCTGTTAATATTAAAAGTGAATAACCAGATATAATTAATTAAGGCTATAATTTTTTTTCTATTTTTAATAATTATGATTGACACAATAATGAAGTTGACTCTTAATATTTATTTATTATGTTAATTTGATTTTAATTTTAAAAAAATAATTCACTCATTCTATAAATTTTGATAATTAAATTTGTTGATTTTTTGAATAAGTCCAAAGTGACATAATTTTAAAAAAAAAAATATTAAAGGTTGGATTTGTTATGTCAACTAAAATTATATAAAATCAACATAAAACATTAAGGTTGTGTTAATTATCCTAAATTGATCCCTTCCGCAGATTTATAGTTTTGAAACTGTTTTTAGCTTCAAAAATATTTTTTTCTTAAAAGATATTTTTTTTATAGATATGCATTCAAAACCATGGTCAAAATAGATCCGGGACCAATTACGTGTGTGAAAGATTAAAGTACACTCACAACGTCCAAAAATAACTTGAACAAAAGAAAAATAAATATATGAAATTTGATTTTATAAGAAAAACGGAAAATAAATACATAGGAAAAGAAGAAAAATTGAAGTAAAAGAATGGCTCCTATAAGGATCCTAAACAACGTCGTTTTGGTCAAAATGTGATATTTCATAATGAAATCATTTTGGTGTGTCATAACATCGTCTGTCATATCATTGCACCGTTTGTGATTTAACGATAGAGTGATCAAAATAAGAACAATGTAAAAGTTGAATACTTAAATTAAAAATTTTATATTTAGTGACTAAAATAAAAATAAAAGAAAATCAAGCAGTAAAATTTATCATTTCTCCAAAATTGAAATGACCTAAGAAAGATTTTTACGATCTAAAAATGTGAGTGGAGGTGCGTCTCATGCATTCCCAACTAGAGTTTGACTAGCTTTAAATAAAAATTTAAATTTCTCAATTTAATTTAGTTTGGATTAATTTTGAATTTAGGTCTAAGGTTTATAATATTTATGTTTGAAATTTATTTTTTTGATTTTAACCTATCTGTTTATGTCATTATAGCTTTAAATTACATTAAATTTGAGTTTATTTAAATTTAAGTTATTGATATTTTAAGTTAAACCGAAGATGAATTTCAAGGCTAGAATTAATGTGTACAGTCCCATCGATTTCTTTGTTTTCAAACATTAACAAACGTTGGAGTATGATATTTACTTTGGCAGTCAAAAGTTTGGTTTGAAATTAGGGCGTAAGAGACTTCCGGAAGCATTAAAGCCGATTGTTGCATAACTAATAATTGTTACTTTTAGAAGTTTAAAATTCCATTATAATGTTTACTTGAATATTTAACGTTTATTGTTAAATAATTAAAAATATTTTAAATATATACTATGTTTTGATCATCCCAAATTAACAATAAATAAATCGGTAGGTGATTTGTGAAGACTTGTCGATCTATCGGGACATTTGGGTATTTCTTGTAGAATTAAGTCATTAAGGACACGTAAATAATAACATATGCTTTACATATGATATTTTTAATAATTTATTTGTAATTTTAAAATAATATTTGTTTAAAAGTTTTTTAAACTATTAATAATATATATTTTATAAATATAATTTTCCAAACGTAAAATCAAAAAAAAATATTCTCTTTTGTCATTAGGGGTTTAACTTCACGTATAAATCTTGATTTTTTTTACATGAGTTTTACAATCCTAAAAGTAAAGTTAAAGACTTTTCCATTGACAATGCAATTTCTTTCTAGAAGATCCTTGAATCAGTTATAATTTACCAAAAAGTAAAACCGGTTCTTTTCTTGCCTTTTTATAATAAGATAAACTAAAACATTTTTATACAAATAAAATCATTTGATTTTATTAAAATAAAAGAGTATTCAAAATTATCATAAATGTTTATAACTATAAATGTAAACTAAATACATAATTAGAATATATTCTTATAACTATTGACACAAAAAATTAATCACTTAAGATTATATAAGGATCATACAAAGAAAAAGTTAAAGGCCCATTCAAAAACTCGAACAAAAGGTATTAGATTCGAGCATGGTGAGAAAACTATTTTCGAACACAAACTTTGCATCCAAATCCAATCCGATGGATCAAAGAATGAAATATCAACATGATAACAAATAAACATCATCTTGATTAGTCGATGCGAATGCAAATCAAATCTTAAAAAGTTTAACAAAAAGAACAACCAATAATTGATAAAAAAATAATCGAAAGTGTGCCATAAAAACAAATAAAAACTTAACATAAAAATAGAATTGTTAAAATTTAAAAAGATGCATAAAAATAAAGGTACGATATAAAAATAAAATATACTGACCAACATTGAGATCGTTATGTCGCAAGCCAAACAAAGAAGTAAACCAGTTTTAATAGTAAAAGAATTAAGCAATTAACATCTAATTTGCTACACTACTACGAGTTAGTATTGATTATTAATTTGGGTAAATTGCATAACTAATACTTAAACTATTAATTTTATTTCATTTTAGTACCTAAACTTTCATTTAAAACATGTAGTTCCCTATTAATTTTTGTAATACAGTGTTTCTAATTTGTTACTATATTAGATGAAAATACAAACCGGCCAAAAATTTGGGAAAATAGAACTGGTGTCCCTAAACTATGACGCCACTTTTAATGTGATATCGATAATTACAAAATGTTAAATGTGTCTTCGTACTTCTGTTTACTTCTAATATTTCTTATGAATCTAACCTCGTTGTGGACTAATAAATAACGTTATAGGACCATTTTCTGATAATAAAAAAAGTCAAATAAAATTTAGGGACGTCATTATAATTTTACCATTTTTTTCTGAAGTAAAACAGATACAACCCACAAAAATGGTGACCACTCTCATTAGCGGAATCAAATTTAAAATATTAACAATTTCATATATTTATTTTTCTTTTGTTCTTTTATTTGTCTTCTCTTATTGCTTCCATAAACAACCTTAACCATCGCTTTCACACTATCGTCTTGTTGGTATTCTTCACCCATTTAATAAATTTGGTATCGGTACCAAATAGAGAGATCAGTATTATATCAATAAGAAGTATCAATACTAATTGAAGAAAATTAATGCCTTAAGTCAAAATCGAATATAATTTATCATTTCAATAATGATATTAGATATGAGTATCGGTATTGTCTCATTAGAATCGATACCTAAATTATAGCATCAATACTTAATAGAGAGTTTAGGGTATATGAACTCCGATTAAGTATTGATACTATCCAAGTTATCAATATTGTGTCCATATAATATTAATACCCATATATTTATATCTATAGCAATCACTTAAAACAACTAAATTATGCATGTACTCCCTTAATGGTGTAAAGATTATGATATGACCTCTTAACTTATAATAATTATATGTGATTTATGTTGTTGATCTCAACTATGAAAATGTTTATAGATCAGTGACTAAACTATAATATTGACTATTTGATAATTCCATTAAGACTAAATATACTTTCGATCAATTAATGTGACATTTCCGATCATGTTCACTATCAGACTGGATTGAAGGTGTTACACACTCTCTCTCTTAACATTATTCTCTTTACATTCTCTTTAGATTGTGGTCGTCGTTCGTTTTTGGCCATCACCGTCAACCACCATTAATTGTTGTTAGATGTCATAAAAAAATTCGGTACTGATTTCTTTTTTTAAAAAAAAGTCTCAAATAGCATAAATATGCGTTTGAGCACTCTTTAAATACACTTTAACTTTGAACTGCCATATTCATATGACTTTCTTCATATATCCAATTTATTGGAGTTTCACTAGTCCTTTTTCCTTTGTAAGAATATAGAAATGGGCAAATATTGAGGGCATCACGTGCTCAAATATGGGGACCCTGAGCCCAATACTTTTCTTACAGGCCAAACACATGAGCCTACAGCTACATAGGGTCACTACTCAGGTTTTAGTATACACCAATTTCACCTAAATAATACTCAAATCAATTTTTCTATCAAAATAGTATTCAAATATATTGCCTCAAAAGAGAGTCAATAAAAGGAGTTGTGACGTAAGAGCGTCTTTGCCTGATGTGATACAAATGGTGGAAGGCTCTTCTATGAGAAAGTGCTTTTGCTCTAAATTACAATTGATGTTTAAAATGATAATGTTCGTAACTTTAAATACATATATTGATTGAAAAAAAATTACACACTTAAATGAAAAAAAAGTTTAGACAATTTTTTTTATATTAAACCTTAAAAGAAATTAAAAGTACGAATTCTAAATGCCCTGATACTTTTCTTTGCTGAGAATAAAGAAAAGGGAAGCCTTCCTACTTTGGCTTAACGTCATCAGTTTCTTGTTGCAGCTTCTTCCCCTTTCTCTCTTTTCCTAGTCCTCATTAATGATTCCAGAAGAGAAACAAAGATTTGCTCCAAGAGAGGAATTTCAATTATATTCTACATTCCAAATCTCATCTCTTTGTCTCGTCTTGTGCTGTCCCTTCACCACAGTTTCGAAGAGCAAATGGGGCAACCCACCTGGGTCATCGACGTTAACCGGAAACA